TATGACAGGCAGGGGGGGAGGCTATTTTGGGCCTGTGAATGGGGCCTCGCTGAAGGCTTGGCTCACCATGCCCTCATCTAGAGGACAGCACCATGTCGTGCCGGGGGGACTTTGCTGCACTGCTCTCTGCATGGCCCAGTCCTCAGCAACAATCGCTTCCAAGGTAGGACGGTCTGCAGGCTCTGCATCCCGGCTGCTGCTTCCTCACGCCCGCCCGGCCAGATTTCCCAGAGGCTTGGTGTGAAAGGCTTGACAAAGGATCAGGGCAGGACTGGGGAGGCGACTTGTGGTTTTGCAAAGCCTCTGCTGTTCGAGCTGTGTTTGGAGTCACGTTTTTGGCACCTTGTCGTGCCAAGCAGGAAGATGCAGGCAGCTCCAGGGGCCAGATCTCCCATGGTGTAAATGGAGGTTGAGGGGAAGTGCTGAGGAGTTCTAGTTGGCTTACAATGTGCAGGGGGGGAGAGTATCAGGTACCATCAGCACCAGGTTCAGTAGCAGAGGCTGATCCTGGACGGACAGTAGATCAGGTGTAATCAATGTGCTGCCCAGTGGAAGGAACCGAGAGACCCAAGCTAGATGCAAAGCAGATTAATTTCTGCATGCCCCCAGCGTCTAGCCAGGCATCTCTCCTCTCCGCAAGGTGCCCCCCCAGCCTAACTCAGGTGCAGCAGGAGAAATCCTCAGCTGCCACAATGCCATTTAAGAGACTAACCAAGAAAGTGCTTCTTCAAGTCTGTTTGGCAGTAGCTCATTGCGGCACGTGCCACTGCTAAAGCCACTTGTCCCCCATTGGGATGTGCAGGTAGAAGGCACCTGTCTAGTGCATATAGGAGACAGGTGTAGGGGCATCCCAAGTGGCCCTGCCCTGCTTTTGGATGGACTGAGGTGTCTGTATAAGACACGCCTGTCCTGCTGACTATGCCCAGAGATGTCCTCCCCTGCACTGACTTCAACTGGAAGTGAATGCGGATGACAGCAGTGCAGGGACCCAAGCAGACGGGATTCACTGAACACACCAAGAGCTCGGAGATGGGCTGAGCAGCACCTCGGCCTCTCCCTTCCCGGCCAGTGCCCCCGGTCTCACTACTGCCCTGTTGCTCTGTCACGGCAGAGATGGAGAATTTCGAGTACAGCATCCAGCTGAACGACAGGGACTGGGCAGAATTCTACTTGGCCTCCGAAGAATGCAGCTTAATCCAGGCTGCCCTGGCCATGGCGGACGACCCAGGGCTCAGTGACATTGAGCAAGGGGACACTGTGCCCAGCACGGACTGCGGAGCTGGCACAAGCAAGCAAGTCACTATAAGGGTGTGCTGTACGCCTCTGCCGGGCAGAGGAAGCCACCCCCCAAGCGGGGACACCAGAGAGGCCCTCCCCTCCCAGCCTGTCCATGGGCATTTGGCCCCGGAGGAGGTTTTGTCAGGCAGTGAGGACGAGACGGATCTGGGCTCGGTCAGCAGGTTTCTGTGGGAAAGCAACCAGCCCGGGTGCCCCCGGCACGCTGTGTCCATGCCGAGGGCCCAGGAAAGCCAGCTCCTCTCTCCTACCGGAGCTGAAGCTCCTGGCGCAGCTAACCATGTTGCCGCACAGCTGCTCCAGCCCCAAGGCATCCCGCATGAGGCTTCGAGCCAGGCAGCAGAAGGCGAAGGGGCAGCAGCTCTGCCAGCAGCAAGGGAAGGAGCTGAAAGGAGGGGTCAGGCTGCAGAGGCACCGAGGGACCTGCCTCGGGGGGCCACCCACGACCCAGAGGGAGAACAGCCCCACATCCATGCTGGGGTGGCAAAGCCCCAGCAGCCTGTTCACATGGCAGACCTGAGCCCCCTGGCATGGATCACGGACACACCAGGCGGAGAAACCACTAGCAGGCCCCTCTGCTCAGAGTCCACACGATGGGACCCGCACAGCGACATGCCCCAGAGCCCAGCTGCAGAGACCCCAGTGCCAACGTGCTCCAGAGCATCCGAGGAGTGTCTGGATCATGGGGGAGCCTGGCCTGATGCACCGTCCTCCAGCAACTCCCAGGAGGTCGTACACCTCCGAGG